AAAGAATCATTGATTACACCATGGTTATTCTTTCGTTATTTGGCTATCGGAAGTATGTTCATGGATTTAATTTGTTCTTTTTTTTACAAAATGTATGTTTATAATTTTAGCATACGTCGGTTTTGCTGTAGTATGGAGTTCTACATGGTGGTCGATGCATGCTTCAAACGGCCCTAAACTTTCTTATTGGCATTTGGTATGTATGAGGATTGAATAGTTTAACTTTTTAAATATGGGAACACATGAGTTCAAAGCTAGAAGTTCATAGTGTTTTAAGGTCAATTCCGATAATATCGTTATGATAAAAATCAGTGGTAAGATAAATAAAAAAGCGAGTCAAATAAGCATGTAATTATTCTATGTATGTGTGTGCATTTATATTATTTTAACAATAATTGAAAAAAAGCTTGAATAATTGTGAAGAATTGATGATAACAGATAAAGAAAATATTTTAAATTTATAATCAATATTCTGCTTTTAGCAAAGCATGTTCTGTCATGTTTTTATTATTAAAGAAAAATCTAACGATTATCTCTTTTTTTAGAAAAATCACTTCAAATGTCGTGCTGGCGGTAGAGCATGGGAAGGAATAAATTGTTCCGTTTTCGATGATCCACATCCAATGACTATGGCACTTTCAGTACTCGTTACAATTGAAATGTTAAATGCACTTAATAGGTTTATTATCTCTATTAATTATTTCTTTCATCTATATCCAATGTTTTTTTTTCTTTTAGTTTATCTGAAAATCAATCTCTTATTAAAATGCCACCATGGACAAATAAATATCTTTTATATGCAATCGCTTTATCAATGTCATTACATATGATGATTCTTTATATTCCTTTTTTTAATGTAAATCAATTTTGTTGTTTTTTCATTGTATTTTATAGTTTTATTTTTTCTAGACGGTATTTCATATTTGTCCATTATCATGCGAAGAATGGTTTGCTGTTATAAAAATCTCTTTACCAGTTATATTCCTAGATGAATTCCTCAAGTTTACTGCACGACAATATGCCGATCGTAAGATATAATTTATTTAAAAATCAAGAAAAACTTTTTCTCTTTTTGTTAGGTGGTCACAAATCAAAACATGTTTCACAAAATGTTATGTCGCAATTTAAAAGTGATATAACTCCAGTTGATAAAATATCAAATCGTCAAGCACTTCATATCGAATAGAACAAATAAGACAGACTTCGTCAAAAAAAAAACGTTCCTTTTTCATCTCATCTTTTGAGAATAGACAAAATTTGTATTGTAAACGGAAGAAAGGAATTTATCTGATAAACAGTTTAATTTTTTTTTCTTATATTTGATTATACGAATACACAAAAAAAAGGACTTCTATGCCTAGAATTATTTATTAAAAATTCGAAAAGAAATAATATCTATTTTACAGAAATCATCAAATCGATATGATGGAAAAATAATTATTATGTACCGTATATAACATAGTCTTTTTGTTTTCATTATTTATTAATTTTATAATTGTTCATCTCTACGATTTCCGTTCGATAGAAGACAGTTTTATTAATATTGTAAATGCAGTCTCGATCAAAGGAATCAATATAAACTTTACCAACTATATTTTCATTTATAGAATAACCGGTTAAAAATAGATATACTACCGAACTTAACTATCGTGACTTCGATTATAATAATCTTTAAAATGTCAGATGTGTTTCTCTTTATGTTCGGATATCATCTACCAAAAATTTATGAATGTCATAAATTTCGTCTTTTTATGTTATATTCATCTGCCGACAAAAATATACTATTTACATTTATTCCTTCAATGTTAATATTTTGCTGTATGAGATCAAATAAAGAATCAACTGAACTTATTTGAATATGATAATAGATCGACTGTTAATAAAAATTGTCATTCATCAATTTCAATGATAACGTGTCATATACATATTATACTGATTTATTACACAATAATCAGTTGTCATTAAAATTTATTTTATTAACAGATTTTGTTTTGTTAGGTTCTATTAGATTATAATACTGACAATGAATATGCAGACAACACGTGTATGTCAGAAATAGATCTATCAATCTAATGATTAGTTTTATTATTATTATTATTCGATTTTGTCAATTACTCATTCTTATGAGATAATAAAGAATATATTATTCTTTATTTAAGCAAACAATGATATAATCAGCCGTTTTTTTCAATAGATTCCATTTTCTTTTCCTTAGAATTCGTTGAAGATTCATTTGTGTACACTTGATTTTATTATCATGTGAATGCTCAATGTATGTTCTTTATGTGAGTAATGCAATCTTTGTCCTAATAGATCATAGACATATATAACCAATGCCGATCACTAATGTTAGTAAATCTTGTATCCAATGCAACGGCATGGAAAATACACAAGAGAATAAATAACGGTAGAATTGAATCGATCGTTCTCCGTTCGTAAATTCCGCAAGTGATTGATGATGATGATCATCATCATCAGTGCAGAAAAAGAAACGATCTTGTTGATGTTGATATTATTGTCATTCATTCGTCACATCTATCAAGATAGAGATATGTATGTTGATCACACCATTCTTTTTTTTGATTATTTAAAAGCTTTTATAGGATACGATTATTTTCGTTCTATTATAGAAGATATTCGTTTTTTTCTCTCTCGTATTGTTATTATATATGATTACTTGTGATGCATTTATTAATTTGCAAATTGATATTTGACGATCCTCATTAATAATCATTGCCATCATTTTAGTTTTCTATATTTTGCTTAGAACATCAACATTTCCTCGGTTCCTTATAGTATATTTATTGATTTACGGTTCTATTACTGTTTCTACATTTATCGATGTTGACAAAAAAAAGAAATGCATCTAGTAACTAACCGTAATGACGAAGTAGTCATATGTGTGAGAAAATAGAATATATATATACAACACTTGTAGATTATCCTTTATTATCATCAAGTGTAATTGTTGATCGAGAACAACTTCTTACTTTTTCTACTAATTCACTATGATGAAAATACATATCTATTCTTTTGTAAATTATGTTGTTAAAGAAATAGAGTAAATCAACAATATAGAATAAAAAAATTTTGCATAAAATTGTTCAATCCATCATGTTCATAGATGATAAATAAATATTTGCGTTCAATTTATTCTGAAATAGAAATATGAAAGAATAGACGTCTACAGTCAATGTATATTATATAACTACCTAGACGATGTCAAGGACAGTAAAATATTAATACCACTTCCTCTTTTGTCGTTACAAAATAAAATTTTATAGGATAACTTGAAGTCATATTCTTTTTCTGTCTTGTGTGAACTAACAATTAACAAAAGACAAGTGAGTCATTTTGATATTTATGTGTGAAATAGTCAGTATCAAATTGATAGCTGACGTGCATATAAAGAATATATGTTTGCCTTGATTCTAATTATGAAAAAGAGCCCACTTTGTTCTCACCATGATACTATTGGAAAATAATAACAATATGACGAGAGCATTTCTTTTTCTCTCTTATTTGTACTACTATTATCATCATTACATTTGTAATGTAAATCAATTTTTTTCTATATTTTGATTGGCATCGATAATATAGAAACTATGTGAGCAAGTTATCTTTGATATAGAATAGAGAGAAAGGTGAACAAAAGATAGTCGAGCAACTGTTGTAATATTATATATTCATAGAATTATAGAGAGAACGAAAAAAAAGAAAGAGAAGAAATGAGAGAAAATACAACTAACAAGTCAAAAATATGATTATAATATTAATACTATAAAAGAACCACAAAATAGAATGAGAAGAATCTTCACTATATCTCTCTGTTACTCATTGGTTTTCTGATCCATAATGCCTTTATGCAAGTAAATATTAAATGTCAGGTCGTTTATTTTTCTTTTTTTTTTCTTTTTTGCTGTATAATCATAACAAGAACAGCTTGTTGTTGTTTTCGTTGTAACCATATTTTATATTTCATCGTTCGTCTACCAATTTGAGTGACAAAATCTTATTTTTTATTCCGTTCTATTGAATACTAGACGTGTGATCAGGGAAATTTTCGTTACTGCTAAAATACTTTGAAATAAATTTTTATAGTATTCAAAATTAGTGAGTGTTATATCATTTTTGCGTATTTAGTTTTTTTCTCGAAGTAAACATATATGTCACGTTACGCTATTCTTTAATTACCAGAACGCGAAAACACATATGCATATTATCACTAGAAATTAAAAATTGTAAACTATATTTGTTTTGTTCCGTACTTGGGATCAACAGAAATCTCACTATTTAAGTATCTAAATACAATATTTGTTGACGTATTCTATTCGTTTAAATAGAGTTATATTTGAATAAGAAAATAGCAGAAATTAGTTTCTAATCATAGCTACTCAATTATTGATGATTTTTTTGATGATTAATGAGTAAACGTACAATTTTAACGGTAGTCTGTGGCAAACCAGATTGCGATTAATGCAAAATATGGTTTGTTTTTTATCATTAGTGCATGTATATCACATCAGATATGCTTTAACCACTAGAAAAATGCAATCAACCGTATCGATCAATTTCATATCGACGTAAGCTTGACTAAAATCTGGCGACCTCTATATTCGACTGAAGTTATTTAAAATAGAAATAATATTTACTATCTTTTAGCATTTTAGTATTTTTTAAGAATTATCAGAAAAAATTTTTTTTCATTGATCGAATATAATGATTGGAGATGATCAGAAAATATTATTGATCATCATTCTTTAATTACAAAAATCAGCCAATAATGCATTATATTATATATATAGCAGGGCAATGAAAACGAAAAACGTGTTAATATCTATATAAAATACACGTCGATGTCGAGGTTTTTAGTGTATAAGCTAAAATAATCGATATGCACGGATGCATCACAATTGCGCGCTTTGTTGAATAACAGAACAATATGTACCTCTCATTGCATATTTATTTTCATCGATTGATATTTATTATTTCAGATCGCTATGCATAAGTCTGGCGTGACTCGACGTATGTCTGTTTCACAGATAGCCATTGAGCATCCATGGGCGAAAACAAAAGAAGATGTTGCAGCCTTCTACACTGTTGAAGAGGCTAAAGGTCTCTCCGAAGAACGAGTAAAGCGCGACTTCGAAAAATATGGACCCAATGGTATAATAAATTTAAAAAATATCTCAAACGAACTTTAAAATCTCTTTTTGTTTTTGTATAGAACTACCAGCTGAAGAAGGCAAAGCACTCTGGAAACTTATTTTAGAACAGTTCGACGATCTTCTAGTCAAAATTTTACTTGCTGCTGCTTGCATTTCATTCGTAAGTTTTCACATTCATATTATTTTATCAAATATTATTTATCTCTTTTTTTTCTAAAAAAAAAGGTTTTAGCATTATTCGAAGAACAAAAAGAAGATGAGAGTCTTGTGACAGCTTTTGTTGAACCAATTGTCATTCTTCTCATTCTCATTGCGAACGCAACTGTTGGTGTTTGGCAAGTAAGTAAACTCTTCCATATGCGATTAGTTTTTTTCTCTAAACACATACGGTATATTTGATTTGATTAGGAACGTAATGCTGAAAGTGCGATCGAAGCACTAAAAGAATATGAACCAGAAATAGCTAAAGTTGTTCGACAAAATCGACTTGGACAAATTCAACGAATTAAGGCTCGAGAACTTGTACCTGGTGATGTTGTTGAAGTAGCTGTTGGTGATAAAGTACCAGCTGATATTCGTATAACCACGATTCACTCTACTACACTTCGTATTGATCAAGCACTATTAACGGGTGAAAGTGTTTCTATCATTAAACATACGGATGCAATACCTGATCCACGTGCCGTCAATCAAGATAAGAAGAATATTTTATTTTCTGTAAGATTAACGACTTGAAATATAATCTATGACGTATTTTTATTTGACTATAGGGAACAAATGTTGCAGCAGGAAAATGTCGTGGTATTGTTATTGGAACTGGTTTACATACTGAAATCGGTAAAACATATGGGAAATAAATAGACAAATTTATATTTATTTTATATAGGTAAAATTCGAGAGGAAATGGCTGAAGCTGAAGAAGAAAAAACACCATTACAACAAAAATTAGATGAATTCGGTGAACAACTATCAAAAGTATGTCCATTTCATTCATCAATCAAATACATCCACAAATATTTACTTTTCTCTTCTTTCGAAGGTCATTACTGTCATTTGTATTGCTGTATGGGCTATTAATATTGGTCATTTCAATGATCCCGTTCATGGTGGTTCATGGTTTCGTGGTGCTATCTACTATTTTAAAATCGCTGTTGCTCTTGGTTTGTTTATTTATACTATGTTCTTTTATTTGTCTTTATCACATTTCATTTGTTTTTTAGCTGTAGCTGCTATACCTGAAGGTTTACCAGCCGTTATCACAACTTGTCTTGCATTAGGAACACGTCGAATGGCTAAAAAGAATGCAATTGTTCGATCATTACCATCTGTCGAAACACTTGGTTGTACATCAGTTATTTGTTCGGATAAAACAGGAACATTAACAACTAATCAAATGTCTGTTTGTCGAGTATGACATATTTTTATTTTATTTAGCTATTTCCACATAACACTTATACATATTTAGATGTTTATATTCAACAAAGCTAGTGGAAAAGATATTCAGATTGATCAATTTGAAATTACTGGTTCTACATATGAACCAAAAGGTGATATTATATTTGAAGGAGCAAAATATAACTGTACTGATCGCAGTGGATTAGTTGAACTAGCTGAATGTGCAGCATTATGTAATGATTCAGCATTAGATTATAATGAAGTAAGTCATCGATTTGTCGTTTCTGTGTTTGGAAGTATATGATTTGATTTATTTTGTGTAGACAAAGAAAGTATTTGAAAAAGTTGGTGAAGCAACAGAAACAGCATTGACTGTTCTTGTGGAAAAGATGAATGTGTTCAATACTAATAAATCACAATTATCACCACATGAACTAGCTATGGCTTCGAATACAGTCATTCGTCAAAAATATCGAAAAGACTTTACATTAGAATTCTCACGAGATCGAAAATCGATGTCGACTTATGTGACACCAACAGCTCAAGGTGCTAGTGGTGGTCAAAATCCTAAAATGTTTGTAAAAGGTGCACCTGAATCAGTGATTGAGCGATGTACACATGTTCGATGTGGAACAGAAAAAGTACCAATGACAGCACATCTCAAACAAGAAATCTTGAAACTAGTTCATTTATATGGAACTGGTGGAGACACACTACGTTGTTTAGCTTTAGGAACTATTGATGACCCAGTACAGAAAGCTGATATGAATTTAGAAGATGCAACAAAATTCATCAAATATGAAGTAATATTTGTTAATGTATAAATATATATAACAGAAGTAAATTTGTTTTCGATAGACTAACATCACATTTGTTGGTGTTGTTGGTATGCTTGATCCACCACGTGAACAAGTTCATGAAGCTATTACTCGATGTCGTGCTGCTGGTATTCGTGTAATAATGATTACTGGTGATAATAAGAATACAGCTGAAGCTATCTGTCGTCGAATTGGTTTATTCAAAGAATCGGAAGAAACATACGGTAAAAACGATATTTATATAAAATGATTGTTATTTGATTATTCGAAACAGGTTTGGCATTTAGTGGTCGTGAATTTGATGATCTTTCACCAGAAGACCAATCAGATGCCTGTCGTTCTGCAAAAATGTTTGCTCGTGTTGATCCAGCACATAAATCGAAGATTGTCGAGTATTTACAATCTCACGGTGAAATTACAGCTATGACTGGTGATGGTGTTAATGATGCACCTGCTTTGAAAAAAGCTGAAATTGGTATTGCAATGGGTTCTGGTACAGCCGTTGCTAAGTCAGCATCTGAAATGGTTTTAGCTGATGATAACTTTTCATCGATTGTCTCTGCTGTTGAAGAAGGTCGTGCTATTTATAATAATATGAAACAATTTATTCGTTATTTGATTTCATCAAATATTGGAGAGGTAAACACAATAGAATTAGAATTAGATGAAGAGAGAGAATAATAATAATAATAATATAAATTTAGGTTGTGTGTATATTTCTGACTGCCGCACTTGGTTTACCAGAATCTCTGATTCCAGTTCAATTACTTTGGGTAAATTTGGTGACAGATGGTTTACCAGCTACTGCACTTGGTTTTAATCCACCTGATTTGGATATCATGGATCGTCCACCACGTAATCCAAAAGAAGCATTAATAACACCATGGTTATTCTTTCGTTATATGGCTATCGGAAGTAAGCATATCATAGTTTTTAGAAAAATCATTTTCTTTTCAGCTTATAAATCAAGAGTTTGATCGTCATGAGAACGAAATATAAAATTTTATATTAATATTTCTGTCTCTCATGTTAGCATACGTCGGTTTTGCTGTGGTATGGAGTGCAACATGGTGGACGATGGATGCCGCCAATGGGCCTAAACTTTCCTATTGGCAATTGGTGTGTACTTGATTTAACTAATTCTTTTCTTTTTTATTTTAGTATACGTAGGAGCAGGCACGGTTGGTGCCTCATGTTGGTAAGAGCTTTATTCTTTGAGTGCAGTGCATTATTTATACCAAACATTTTGCTTTGTTCGATTTCAGGTGGTACGTTTCGTATCACGATGGACCACTGTTGTCATGGAGACAGCTGGTGAGAGTTAGCAAAAAAAAATAATATGCTAAATGATATATAGCTAGATTACCTCACCCATATTTTTACGCGGTTTTTGTTTGTATAATATTTTCGCACATTTAACATTTACTGCTAGGCGTGCTTTGTCCATTAGTTTATTATGCATAGATCTGAATATTATTAGAATTATTATGAGTTCGATTTTATGGAATAGAATATTTTATTTTTATCAAATTTAAACAGAATATTGCAATTTGGGTTGCTAAAAGTTTTCGTTTCTTTAATTTAGAAAAATCACTTCAAATGTCGTGCTGGCGGTAAAGATTGGGAAGATATTGATTGTGATGTTTTCGAAGATCCACATCCAATGACAATGGCACTTTCAGTACTCGTTACAATTGAAATGTTAAATGCACTCAACAGGTACAATTCATATTTCTTGAAATTCAATATAAATCTCTTTCTTTTTAGTTTATCTGAAAATCAATCTCTTATTAAAATGCCACCATGGACAAATAAATATCTTTTATATGCAATTGCTCTATCAATGTCATTACATATGATGATTCTCTATATTCCAATGTTCAATGTAAACCATATTTGTTTTTTATTGTATTTTATACTTTTATTTTTTCTAGACGGTATTTCATATTTGTCCATTAACATTGCAAGAATGGTTTGCTGTTATAAAAATATCTATTCCTGTTCTATTACTTGATGAAACATTAAAATTTATAGCTAGACGTTATGTTGACAGTAAGTTAAATTTCACGCCTATAATTTGCATTTGATTTTAACCCCTTACCTAATTTTTGCGGTATTTTTCCTTATAGAAACCGAAGAGGGCAACATATTGCATGGTGTGTTAAGTTTAGGCATATTATGGATTGCTTATGGCGCCGTAATTATGTATTCCCCAATATTTCAAAGTTGGGAAGGTTTTACTCATCATTCAATTGGTAATACGACAACATACACATCTACTCATCATCATCGAAATCTCGATTTGTGATTGTCTGTTTTCTTTTCTGAATTCTTAGATCTTTTATTAGTCTAATAATATTTCTGCACTTGTTTTCTTTTTCTATTATTAAAGAGACATTCCAATTTTACTAATATAAACCTTTTTCTTTTTTTTTCTAATTTAAAAATAACACGTTATTTATTTTCTTTTGTTTTATTTTCTGTTGGTTATGTATTGAATAAAAATACATTTGCCTTTTAGTTTGCGTACTGCATGAAAGAAGATTTATTTATTTTTCTTTCTTAATTTCAATTTATTGTTTGTTTTTTAGTTTCACCAAGAAATCGTGAATTAAACGAACAATAACACAAAATTTCATTTTCTTTTCATATAAAATCGTCGACTGTGATCCTGAACAAAGATATATATCATTCTATTATAATAAATTCGTTCCAATTTGTTCTATTCGAATAGAACACTGAGATAGCAAGTGTTTATTTTATATGTGAATGTTTTTATCATCGTTTTTTATTGATGATATAACCCTAAAATATTTTTTACTATTTTAATTTTTTTCTATTTATCATGATCGTTTTTTTTTTGTTTTTTTTTTCGTTCTGGAATATAACGCATATGAATTATGTAGTCGAGATTGTTCGTTTGTACTTTTATATAACGCAATGTGTATTGCATTAAATACGTAGTGTTGATCGATGATGGTAGGTCAGGGAGATGACCTATAAAGAAGTAATCGAATGTGAATTGAAAGAATAGAAGAAAAAAATCAAAAAAATGGTACATTGATTCAAATAGTATATTACTTGTGAAGGAAAGAAATGAATGTTATGTTATTTTTTATTTTTTTAGATAAATTTTATTTATTATTGAATAGAAATTAATTAGTTTTGCGTAAAATTTTTATTTTTCTTTGATAAAAAATTTGTCAATGGCATCACGAGCTAAAGCTAAACCACCAAAGAAGCGTCAACAACGCGCTACGTCAAATATTTTTGCGATGTTTGATCAATCTCAAATTCAAGAATATAAAGAAGCATTTAACATAATCGATCATGATCGAGTATATTTCTTATTTATCATATTACTAATTATTTTCGTTTTTGCTTTGATTAGGATGGTTTCATTAGTGGCGATGATCTAAAAGATATGTTCGCTTCATTAGGTATGAGTAATTCTTGTGGTATGATTAATAATTTAATGATTGTTTTTATAGGTAAAGTAGTTAGTGACATGGAGATTGATGCAATGATTCGTGAAGCTCCAGGTGATATAAATTTTACTATGTTTTTAACATTATTTGGAGAAAAATTAACGGGTACCGATCCTGAAGATGTAATTAAAAATGCTTTTATGTCATTAGATGATGATGGTTCAGGTAAAATTTCGGAAGATCGTTTACGAGAGTTATTAATGACAATTGGTGATCGTTATACTGATGAAGAAGTGGATGAATTATTTAAAGAAGCACCAATTAATCATGGTTTATTTGATTATCCAAAATTTATTAAAATTCTCAAATATGGACGCAAGGATCAAGATTAACAAATCTAATTTGCAATTTTTATTCAGATATATTACACAAATGTAATGAACATTTATTATGTCAGCTAGACTCACCCTCAGGAATAAGGTTTTTTTCCATTTTTTTAAAGCTCCTATTGCACTTTGATTTACATTTATCAATACTCTCACTTTTTTTGTATATTTATACATATATATACTGTAGTAGTTAATGCATTATTGTTTGCTTTTATTCAAAATAAAAAATAAATATATAATAGTTTTATTCTTGTTCGTAATCGTATGAAATATTTTCGTTATAAATGTAGAACACTAGTCATTTAATTTGTGAAAGACAAGCGCGTGTATTTTCGAGACTTTTCTATGCAACTATAACTTCGATATTTAAAGCATAGACATCATTTTGCTTTTTTGTAATGTATTACTTATTTCAATAATATCGCATATTTTGACTGCAGGTGGTATAATTGCTGTATTTCAAATGGCAATAGTCTGTTGTAGAATAGGAATATTATTTGCGCAAGATTGTATAAATCTTTACCTTGTTGTTCTGCTTTTGATCAATGTTTGGTAGTTAATCATCGTACTAAATACATTTAAACTTTGCATGAAATTCCATTTTTGATATTCATCATTTATGTATCAGATGCTTTTGCAGTTACTCGATGATGTTATACTATCTAAATTAATCAGTATGTCATATATATATATATTGATTTTATGACTACTAAGTGCACTCTAACAATTCTTTTTGTGTTTTTATTGTCATCGGCACAATTTCATCTTCAAGATTTGTATCAAAAGAACACCGAAGAAAATTTACTTAACAAGCTTTATTGCCAGTTAGATATTTCCAAAGTTAAAGCCTCCAAATGTATCATTAGATTATGAATAACTTTATCCTATTTAGTAACTTTCTTATACGTTCAATAGTATTGCATAAATCTATTTTTGCTTCGTTTTGAGTATGTTTAGTCTATATACGTTCGACGTTTATCGTGTCTCGAAGTGTAAGTTGCCGTTGCGGCATAAAACATAAAAAATGAGTTTTTAAGACATTTTATAGTATTATTCTCCCATTTTCTTCTCAAAAATCTTTCAAATCTAGACAAATATCAACAAAGTTCTGCTATTGCCATCGTAGAGAAAAAAAGGTTAACATTCCTAACCGACGGATTTATCGACTTACACTTCTAATTGTGGTTCATGACATATAATTATGAATATTATAATACGCATACCTACGAATTAAAATTTATCATAGTTCTATAAATCACAACTTTTATTAAGAAGTAAATGTAATATCATATCGATTTGAAGAGAAAGACAGGAAACGATAAAGATCAAGTTTAACGGGGATAATAAAAAATGATATGATAAAATATTGAGATAAACAATTTTTGTTATATCTAGTAATATATTACTGTACTCAAACGCCATCTATTATCTATATCAAGAGTGGATCATAGCAAACTAACAATTATTCTTTTTTTAATATTTAGTCTTTGTTTTAATTCTAAATGTGCTTTACCTAAAATATTTATCGAATTAAAAAATAAAAATGCTATATATTTCTTATCAATGAGTAAAGTTACGTTTATTATTATATCAATGGACATAACTATTTCATAGTCTCGCGATACCAGAAAATGCATAGAATATATTCTTGATTGTAATTATAAAAATAATTTTAGATTATATACGAAAAAATATGTCAAAAGATTTAGATCCAACCGGCGGAATGTTTGGTGGTAAATTTATAAAGTAAAAAAAACAGCTTGTTACTAGTTTTATTTTCTTTAGGACAGAAAGATACTATGATGGGAAAAATTGTAGGTCCAGGAAAACCAGATTCACATACGTATGTTCTTTCGCTTTGAAATAAAACTATTTAATTCAATTTAAAACTTTTAGATCTGCTCCACCTGGTGCTAAAACTGATGTTATTAATCCGAATCAACCGGCTGAGTAAGTTGTTATAATAATTCTGATTCATTTTAAATTTATTCTTCTAGTCCAAATCGTGATCATGAACCAAAGATTAACTTTCAAAAGGAACCAATGCCAGGTCAAGGTCCTCAGACTGGTGGTTTACATTGATAAAATTTATTTTCTTTTTGTTTTTTTTTAAACATATAATAAACAAGCTGATATTTGTTTGATTTTCAGATTAACTTTATTTATTTCCTTGTTTTCAAGTTACAATGACAGATAGTATGTTCAACGAAATTTCTTCAATAAAAAAAAACTAATCATTCTTTCAATTTTAGCTGATGATGGTGTAAGCGAAGAACGTCAAATCAATGAAGATTATAAAATATGGAA